GAAGAAGAAAAAAAGTAATTAAAAAAATCGATCATCGTCGGGTTATTTAAGCACGAGCATGAAAACCCGTGAACCAAAAATCACACGCATCGAATCGTTTGGCCACCTGTGCGTCGTCCACGTTTTGCCAAAACTACGTCATCGCGAGCGCGCGCTGTATACGCGCGGTTTCGAATTTTCCCGCCCTCCCTCCTTCCCTCGCTCTGGCTCGCTCCAACACACTTACAGCGGCACACGTACAACAACCTACCAACACTGACCCGAACGACGAGCATACACGCGTTCTATCTCCGTTCGTTTCTCTCTCGGCAACTTTGTCCGCTCCCTCCTGATCCACCGCCGACCGACGACTCCCCCACACAATGTGCACACGCACACGCACACGCGTAAACGCGCGCGCACACGCACATACACACAAGCGTGCACACCCACGGAACGGCCGTGGCGTGTACACACGGGACAAAGACAGATATACTACCGTGCCAGCACCTACTAACGGATAAGTGCTCTTCCAACACTGATTAAAACACGCTGCCGGCTAGACACGTGCCCGCTTCTAAACTCGTGTGTGCTCCTACAGTATTCCGTAGGCAGTCGAGAGAAAGAGGGAACGAGAGTGGAGCGACTTTTCGAACCGAACGAATCAACGTTTCCTCTTCGAACCGGTGCGCTCCGCGTCTCTCTGTCCCGGTCATCGTCGTTTCCGTCTCTTCGTGGAGAACTGTGCTCCGAAAAAAAAGGGGGGGGGAGGAAGAAAAAGAAAAAGAAAAAAAAGGCGGGAGGGAAAGAGAGAGAAAAAGAAAACGGGTATTAGGTGAACACGGGTATAGGGATATAGGAGGAGAGTCGGGGAATCGTGAAGGAACCCCAGCGAACAGAGTACGGAAAGAGTCGGACAGACAGAGAGAAGAATAGAGACCGGAGGAGGAAGGCGGGGGATAAAGAGAGAGAGAGAGAGAGAGAAAAGAGGAGAACCGTGAAGAATCTCGGTATCCGTCGGTGTGATCGTGTCCGCTTCGGCGATTTGCAAAACCCGAGAAAGGAAAAAGTGTGCGAGAGAAAGAGCGCGGGGAGGGGGAGGGAGGCGGGGAGGGAGCGAAGAGCGAGCGAGAAACGTAGGGAAGTGGGAGGGAGATAGAGACGGAAAGAAAGAGAGGCGAGGCGTGAGCGAAAGAGCGAAAGAGAGATCGGGCGGTATAGGAGCGAGCGAGTAAGAGAGAGCCTGCTGATCCGCAAAATACGGTCTCGTTACACTATCGTCGGTGTTGGGTCATCTAATCGCCTCTGAAATTATCGTCTCGCCAGTGCAGAGTGACGAAACACTCTCTCTCCGGGAGCAATCAGTTTTCGAGGGTACTGGTTCGTGGTGCTTGCTCGACGACTACGGAGACTCTCGCCGCGAGTCCTTCGAATACCGATCTCGTTCCGATCTCGTTTCGTTCTCTCGTTTTCGCGTGTCACGCGTATATATATATATATATATGTATGTATGTATATATAAAATACGTTCGAGCCGATCGCTGCTACCGGGCCTCCTGGCCTGCCTGGTCAAGGTGAACATTGGCAACGACCACGGGAGTGGAGAGAAATTGTGCGCGATGATCGCGTTGCGAGAGAGAAGGTCCCTCTCGTGAGGAATCGTGAGGATTCGTCGGAGATCCGCGATCGTGGTGACCGTGGTGATTGGTTCGAAACGGAGTCACAGTCTCGTTTTTTTTTCTTTTTTTTTGGTGCGTTCCTCCCGCAACAACGGGATGTTCAACGTGTTTGTGGACGCCGCCGATCGACGGATACGTTCCCTCGATCGGTTCGTTTGCATCGGGAGCGAGATACGTGAACGAAATCAGTGATCAGTTGTTGTTGTTGTTGTTGTTGTTATTGTTGATGTTGTTGTCGTTGTTCGTCGAGTCGATACAGGTCGATCGTGCGCCGTGGAAAATGGACGATCATCCTCGTTGTAGTACGTTGAGAAAGAGAGTTCTGTTTCATCGCGGTTGTTCGAGTGTTCTTGTCGCTGTTCGATTGGACGACGCCGTCGAGGAGGCGCGCTCCACGTCGTTTGAATATCGTGTTGCGCTTACGCTACCTCGGGTCTCGTGTTCGCGTTAAATGTCGAACGGCGAGCTTCCGTAACGGAGCAACGGTGTTTCTACCAACTATGCGTACCGCGCTCGGATCGTTTCGTCTCCGAAATTTCGAAATTGTTTCGCCGCGCGTTAATATCCTTCCTCTTGATCGATCGTTGTATCGATCGTCGAACGCTTCTTTCGTTTCTTTTTCCTCGACGAAGGTGCATCCAACCGAAAGAACGCATCTCGAAGAAATCGAAATAAAATCCTTTCTCTCCCTCGTTCGTTCCCTTTCTACGAAGCGTCGAATTGTAATTTAGTTTCGCGAAAAAAAAAAAAAAAAAAAGAAAAATACAACGAAGAGGTAAAAAAAGGGGGGGGAAAAAAAAGTAAGTGACGAACGAACAAAGAGAGAGAGAGGAGAGAGGAGGGAGAGGGAGAGAAGAGAGTTATCGAGCGCGGCAAGAGCGAACGTTATCTCTGCTGTAGGTTTATCGCGATATTCCTCTTTGGCGTCGTCATCGAAACAGGATCATTTTCGCCGGTTGACATGACGAGGATATCGCCATCGGCTGGTGATCCCGGATCGTTATTGGACAGTATAAAGTCAATCGCGGCGAATAACACGATTGGTTCTCGTTTAGCTCCGCTAACCCGGCTTCCCGACTTGGACCACCAGAACTACACATGATCGGTCTGTGGAACTTTGCTTATTTCAGAGGTACTTGTCGCTACACGTTCAACTTTTCAATCGACGCGAAATACAATCCTGTTATCCTTTCTTTTCTCCCCTCCTCCTCCTCCGTCCCAGCTCTCTTTCTTTCTGTTATATTCGATCGACTTTAAACCAGCTGCGCGCACCAGCGGTTAAAGAAACTTATCGAACTTCGCGTTCGACTTGTGCTCCCATTTGCATGCAATTATTATAACGCGCGATAAAAACACTCGGCCGTACGATCTTCTCCTTCTTCGCTGGGTGGTATGTATCCCAGATTATTCTCGTGGAATAATCTGTAATTGCGCGTAAAACTCGTGTACATTTCCATCGATTATCGAATATCCCTCGAGTCGAAAAGAAAACGAAAGTTCTTTTCTCTTCGACGAAGATTTCTCGTCTCGAGAAAAATCGAAATCAAAGATTCGCCACGATTCGCAACAATCAAGAACACATATATATATATATATATATATATATATATATATATATATATATATATA